TTTCCTCAATTTACTGAAACTAGTTACATTGCATGCCAAATTAATTTTCACTGTTTTGTGAGGAACAGTTCTTTCTTTTTAAATAGGAAAAAAAATACAATGATTAGATGAATTTCCTCTGGAAACTTGTTATGTTGAATTTGCTGGAGAGATAACAGTAGCTATACAAGGTCATGTTGTTTTGGTTTTTTTTTTTTCAATTTTCCTTTTATTTCTGCCTTGCTTAAACCTGTATCTCCAACCTTGCAGAGACTTTAAGAAGCAGCACTGGTTTTACCTACAGGAAGCTACGCTGAATAAAGATAGGACATCTTGTATAGAAAAGCTTAAAAATAAACACTACCCTATGGTAACATTCTCAAGCTTTGCACAGACTCTGCAGTCCACAAGGTGTGTGATCATCTCCTACCCTTTGCATGGTTTCCATCCCATGTCCCCACATTTATAACTCAGCCACCATACTATGCATATGCTGAATGGACTCAGTGAGGTGCCTGCCTTGGAGTGCATTACTTCCCTAAATGGGAATATTTTTAGCCAGTATTTTTTCCTCTTTTTCCTCCTCACTAAACAATGATCTTTAAAAAAATACCCCTAATTTTATTTCCCTTGTGCATACAATAAAACAGCCAAAGATTTATTTCTTTCTTCTATCCAGAAAGCAAGCAATGGAGGCAAAACAGCTTTTCTAGTTTTCATTAGCTGAAGCTCTGGCTTGATGCAATCACATTTTACATGCCAATAATACTGAAAGGTAACCAGCTGTTGTATTCCAACCACTATGTGTCTGGGAGCAATTTTGCAATATGTGATTTGTAAAAATTACTTTTATATGTATTTAGTATAGCAATGAATATTTTCTGAACTGTAACTCTAATTTTGATTTTCTAGGCAAGCCTAGCCAAGTCATTGCAAAGAACACGGCATCAGAAGAAAGTTATTGCAACAAAGCCGGAATCAGTGTCAATAAAATAATGTCAATATAATCTGTTAAGAGCAGAAATGCATAGGAATTTCCTCTTAAATCTTGAAAAAAAATGTATTTATAAGAAACTGGAGGACTCGAAATTAATTTTAAACATTTTTATAGAGACTTTTTGGGTGATAGTTAAAACACTATCAGTTGAAGAAATCTGAGTCTGTTCCTTATATGAATAAAATTCATTCAGCATACACAGCATGCCTTACTGCAAAGGAAAATGATCCTTACTACATTACATGTTAGTTTTCATTTGGAAAGAGACAAAAGAATTTGATGGCAAAGCATATATATTGTAGTAATGCACACAGCCCCACTGCACATACTCTAAAGGGCAACAGTTTCTCTGATTTATGCAGCAAGTTCACTGGTCTGGTCTCTGTAGGGACAAGAAAACAAACAAAATGTGCTGTGTTTCAGAAATAACATAGATCTCTTAGATCATGATAGAAAAGCAGCTGCTAACTTCACATAGCAAAAAGCGTCTGAGATGTCCTGGTGGAACAGCCCTATCAGTGGAGCCAAGTCCAGCCTTGGATAGCCATGACCCACATGGTAGAAGACCTGTAATGGGCCAAAAGAACCATCTTGCCCACTGTTGTATCCTACACATGCACACGTAATAAGGGTAAAACAGGTGATTGTCCTTCCTCAGTTCTCCTTCAGGTTTTGGCTGAGCTATAGCTTTGGGACCACTCAGCTGCAGGCAGCATGCAAACCTTGGTGTTTAATAGCCACCAGTGGAGAGATCCTCTGTTAGCTTACTGAATTATTTTTAGATCTACAGCCCTTCATTGCTTTGTGTGGCGCTAGGAACTTGTTTCTGTATTTGATTATTACCGCAGAGAAGCTACGTATATACCAAACTTTTTTGCTGATCCAAGGGAAACAGCCCCTGAGCTGTAATTTGTCTCCTCATGACTTAAACAGGACACAAGTGGCTCTGAAATAAAACACTGCAAAGACTTCCTCGGACAGCATTTTCGAGACACCTCCAACTGTGAACATCCAATGACTTATGTTTGAAGAGATTAAAACGTGTGTGTCCAAAAGAGGTAAGCCCTGATGTTGCTTTGGATAGGCTCTTGGGCAGGGTGGTCAAATTGCTGAGCTTTGTGTCCAAAAGCCAGGATGCACACCTGAAGCTTGGGGTGAAAGGCAGCTTCGCGAATCAAAAGCATGCATTTGCTAGGACTCATTTGCAGCCCTGACAGGTCTGTGCCAGTTTTTTATAACCTAGCTCCATTTGATCTCAGCTTTCACTAGGATGAGTCTAGCAAACAGAATGGTTCCATTTCTGCTAGCTAACTTTGAAAAAAAAATTTAAAAAAATTAAAAATTGACCAATTTTGAATGATGGACAAAGATAGATATACAGAAAATACATATTGATAACGCTTATTTTTCAGAATGTTATGTAGTGTTTGGGTGAGCAGGGAGTTTCCTTTTCCCTTCTAAGCCATTACAACCCATTAAGTCAAACCTCAGGCTCTAAAAGCTGTAAGTAATTAGGCACTGACAGAAACAAACCATTTTGCTTCTGTGTCTATTGTGTCAGCAGCATTAATGCAGGACCCACTAGAAAACCTGATATGGTCAATAAGTCAGGAACTAAAATACTTTCTGCTTCCATAATTGCTCCATTATGTTAGGAATTTGCATTTTAATAACTCTCTAATTATTTATTTACTCAGTATGGTCCATGGTATGCAATTTAAGGTGTTTTAACTGCCCATTTAATTGACTGTACATAATAGCTATTGGTGAAATGTATGTAATTAGAAAGACTGTAAAATATCTATTACATGTAAGTAACAGTTACTGTTCTATTTCAGGGCTCTTTTTAAGAAAGATTGCAGAATTAACTAAAGACCTAATCTAATCCAATCACAAGAGCGTCTACATTTTTAAGTGTCTTCATTTGGAAAAAAGAGGAAAACAAAAACCTTCAAAAGGTAAAACATTTTGATCTCTGCTTATGTCATTGTGCCTCTTACCCACAAGCCATTCTGATGGGCACAGCTTGGGCTGTCTGTCTGGATTTTTATACTTAAACAAATGTCCTTGCTATTGTAGTCTTAATCCAACCTTTTAATACTACCTGAAATGCACTTACTTGTGGTCGAATTAATGATAATTGTGAGCTCCATGGCATCAGGTATGTTCTATCTTAATGCTACTTTAATGTCTGGAAATTCCAGTTCCTGGCGTCAAGAGGCTCCAGTCACTTCCACAATTTCTAGAAATAGCTGTGACCTGCTTTTTTGCACGATTTCTATCCTTTCAGGCTAACCTGAGCTCCTGGAAACAGAACGCTATTGAAGCACAAGCCTTTTTAGTGCTTACTGCTTGGTAACTTCGTTCTTCCTATTTAATTACAGGCTTCATGTTTAGAGTACGAAGAAGGACATCTTGTAAAGGCACCTTTTCATGTGTGGACAGACCATAAAAATGCAGGTAGGGGCTTCTTTTCCACAGTGGGTGACCCTGTGGCATTCAGAAATGCTTCACTGTTGTTATCAAGTGGACCTCTTTAGGAAAGAAAGAAAAAAAGCAACCCTAAAGTACCACCAACTCCTACTTGGTTACCTCAGACCAGACTCTATTTAGTCGTGTGGGACCAAATGTCACGCTAGACAAAGAAGGCAAGTATACAGTGAGTTAGACTATTGTGGAGAAAGAGAAGGAATAAAAACAATGTGGACAATAGTGACATTTCTGTCAGTCCAGTGGGTGCAACCCACCACTTGCTTATTCTGAAAAACTTGTGGGGTGCAAGTTCTCATAGTTAGCATGGCTGTTATTAAAATCCATAACAGCATATATGAGCCATTAGCTTTCCTATTCTTAATAACTGCAATTTTGTGAGTCAATCTAGATGAAAGGAGTTTAATTAAAAGTTGCCCTAATTAGTGTGATTATGGCACCAAATAAAGAGGATAACACGTTAATGCTCCTCTGAAGCATTCTTTTTCACCTCTCCCCTTCTGTTGAAAGATTTAGTATTTGACTGACTCAGTAAATTACTGATTCATTAATTTATGCTTGGGGGATGAGAAAGCTATTTTCAATAGAATTAAATCTACAACCTACTAATGTAAGAGACTCCTTGTGAGACTCCTCACACTGTAAATCAATCCATTTCTCCTAGTTCAGGGTTTGGAGCATGAGCTAAACTTGGTTTTGTACCATGAGGGTTGAAGAATTGTTTATTTTAATTTCAGGTAGGGTAGATGGTGCTTGTCGTTGAGTCAGCTGAGGTGATGAACTGGGAAGGAGGTAGAATGAATGTACAGGATACAAAAACTGGTAAAACTCCTTTTACACAGGACCATGAACCACTTGGCAATGCAAGATTAAATGTGCAGACAGCCAGGAAGATTCCAGTTCCAACCACATTGAGTGTCTTAAAATCTATCTATCTATCCATCCATCCATCCATCCATCCATCTATCCATCTAATGGTATCAGTGTTTTTTTATTTAGCTTTACACTATAAAGGTATTCATCATACTAATCCTATTAGGTAGATATTACCCTTGCCAGCATTCCTGGCAAGTGCTTATCACCACTCCTATTGTTCCACTCCTTTTGATTGCTTAGGAGACAAGAAGTAGGTATCTCTTCCATCCAGTAGACTCAGTCTCTAAAATTTAAGACCTAATTAGATCCTCACACCTTTGGTCCAAAGCAACTTGGAAATATTAAACCACTAAAGTACTTAAGGTGATGATTCATGTAAGTCATGCTCTTTTTTTGCAATGAGTGTTCACCTACAACACAAAACACAATCAAGGGATCTACTTATAACAGAGTTGTTACTCAACCAGGTAAGAAAACAGCTAAAGCATGGAGAGTGGATGGGATCTGTCTAGTTTGGATTTCCTTTCACCAGGACAGAAATATTGTTTCCATTTATCTTTCTGAAAACTTTTGAGAAGAGGACGCCAGAATTTGAATGGAAACATGAATGCACTTGGAAAGATACTAGACAAATTTGGGAATCTTTCTTCTTCCACAGACCTCTGTTTTCTAAACAGCATCTAGCCCTGATAAGCTTGGAGTACCAGTGCAAGTGTGCCGGATCGTTAACCAGATACCCATTAACATCTCAGTCAAGCCAAGAAAGATAATACACCTTTCCCTGCTTTCATGTATGCAACCACTGGATGAGGTCCTCAAAGGTCAGTTATTTTGAAGTTCAAGCATATTTTGTGTGATTTTCTTTGTAGTAAATGTACTAATCTTTCATATAAAAAACATCTGTGTTTTCTTAGGCCCTTTTAAAAGGTTGTGCTGACATGTGAGTAGATAAATGTTCATATTTTGTTTAACATCATTTCTATTCCATTAGTAGTTTTCATAATCTCATGGTAAAACCATGCAAAAATGAGATTGGCCCTACATCTAGATCACAGTTTAAATCAGAAAGACAAAGTCACCTACAAGTTGTAAAATAGAAAGCTTAATAAGCATGAAAACCCATGCAGCTCAAACAGTAACTGAAGGGGAATTTATTTCAGCAAAGTCCTGAGGAATGACCGGAGTGAGGGTGAAAAGATCTCTAGCTGAGAGTAGAGGACAGAGCTACTGCTGGACTTGGAGAGATCGAGATCAGCTCCTGTGGATTGGGATCACATGCCAGGAAGGGAAGTGGCTGGGAGGTGAGTGATGGCGAGTCCGGATCTATCCCTTGGATTCAGCACATGTCCCCAGACTTGACTGGAAATCTAGATGTGTCTGTGAAGATCTTACAGACTGGTCAGAGAAAAGCTTTAGTGTGTTGGGGGTTCAGCATAGTTGCAGCCTGAGGTGGAAAGGGATTAAGTATTTTATGCAGGCTCATGCATTAAATCCCTGCAGGTTCTGAACTTCCAGTGAATTTAACTATGAAGCCATCCTCTTCTCTCCTATAGTCCAGCAGTCACTGCACACGTGGGGTGCTGGTCTGTTTGCAAAATGTTTGCAAGCACTGAAATGACTTCTGGAAGTGCCTTATAAATGTGCTGGAAGATTAACATCAGTTACTGAAGAAAAGCCAAATTACTGACAAAGTGGACTTCAGAAGGACAAAAAGTCTGCTTCTTTTCCCTGACCGTTTCTGTGAGGCACTTCAGCTCATCAAAACCAACACCAAATTAATTAATTTTTAATGCTCTGTGGTTCATGAAGAAATAAAAAAAATTTACAAAAGATGTTAAAAAAATTGCAAACAAATCACAACTTTCCTGGAAGTTCAGTTTCTCAATAAAGTCATAGCAGATGTTTAGCCCTGCACTAGGACTTGTATAGGCTCCTCAAAGTGCTGGGCTAAGGGAAAAAATAGGCCAGGTGTTGATGGAGATTTTGGGGCAGCTGCTTCACAAACCATTTTAATCCAGAGACTTTTAGAGGGAGGATTGTAGGAGATGGAGTGGGTGGCTTCAGCCCCAGCCTTTCTTTGAAATAGCCTGACAGAGCTGTGTTAGCAGCACAGCTCTTACAGTGTTATTGGCTTCATGACGACAGATAAAATAGAAAATTTTGATTTCTACCTCAATAAAGCCCCAATACCTCCCTACTCCTTTGAGTCTCATGTCTGATATACCTTGAAGGAGGAATCTCTTTGAAGGTCCATCAGTGAAGAAAGCTGTGCCACTTCTTATCGTGGCTGGGCTCCATTTTCAAGGCAAGGGAAATTCCAGCGAACTTCGAGATCCATCAAGGTGGCTTGGCTCTTATTCATCACCCTCCTGGCATCCAGGCTTGAAATTCTTAATGTGATTAGTGCTGAGGAAACAATTTTCGTCCTCCTCAGCTTCAGTCACAATCCCTATAGAGCACAAAACCTGATGATCGAGAAGGGGAGGTTCACTAAAAGCTACCCTATTTATAGCTGGAGTGAAATGGCATGGCTTTGTCCTTGGCTTGTGATTTCATGGAACATGAGTGTCTCTTATTGCATGGCAAACAGTGACAGAACAATTACACAGATCCACAATAACACTGAAAAGAGAGAACACAAAACTTGAACTATTGTGGCAGAAGTAACATCTCATATGCTAGCTATGTATGGTCAGCCAGGAGGAATGCCTGCTAACATTTTAACATTAAAGTTCTAAGTAATTCTGTTTTTCTGTAAAGTCTCTGGCATCTGGTAGGTTATTAAGTAACTCAGTAGAGATCTGTTAAATATATAACCTCAGTGCACAAAGGACACACTATCTTACTGGATTTCTCTCTTTAATCCATACTTCCCTTTGATACTTGCATGATCCACGGTTTCCAACCATGATTTTGCAAACTTGATTTAAATACTTCAGTGGGACAAATAATTCTCTTCCATCCTCACAAGTTTATGGGCAGAATCTCTGTTGCTCTTCAGACTGAAATTTCCCGTTGCTTTCCTACAAATCCTAATGATCTTGGGGTTACCTCATAAGGTACGCTTGAAGATTTCACTCCAAAAGGTCCAACTTCTGACAAAAGGTAAGGATTAAGGTTGACCAACCATGGCAAGTGACTATAATGACAGAAGATTTATCAGATGACAGGACTGAGCCGTGTTTTGTTCCCCCTGGAGTATGATTCAGGGTGGCATTCAGAGAAAATGCCAGATAAATGTCACTAGTAGGGATCTCAGAATGGAGGTACCAGTTCCTCGTATTGCCATTGTCACAAGGATAGGTCTTCCCTAGAATCAGAAAAGATAAATAGAAGAGCATGACTTACACAACTGAATCAGCACAGTAAGTAGTGGGAAGTTTGTGGCCTCCTCAGCTCTTATGCGCTTTAGCTTGCACAAGTCTTACAACAGAGGAGGACTTTTACAATAACCATAAATCCCAAAGTCTTTTGCGTATGGAATCTACCATCATGGTGAGTGGAAAAGAAAAGCTGTAGATCTCGGTTCTATCTGAAACAGTGGCAGTGGCAGCTGGTGTCAAAGCAAGTGAGTAGCAGAATTTGCGTGAGTGGACATGGCAGCTCAAAACTTGTTTTTTCCTGAGACAGAGAAGGCAGGATGTTAACATTCAGCCCTTGTCTTGTCCTTTTTCTCTCAGCAGGTTAAGCTGATCTAATTATCATTTGTTCATTATGAAGAGGGAGAATGCTGTAACTATACAGTTAGTTGGCTGTAACAGTGACCAGAGAAGTGGAACTGGCCCTGAATAATGCAGGAATTTAGTATCTATCTTATTACAAATGCTGCTGATTTGGCTGTAGAAGAAAGAAAATTAATATCATTAAAATAAAATATAAGGAAAAGAAAAAAAAAAAGCATTTTACAGCTCCATGTTCCTACTCCTTACTGTTCCTACAACAAAAAATACTCATGGTGTTTATAAGAGTTATCTGCACAAGTATTAAATTAATCGGAAAAGGATCAAAAAGTTAAATATACACCTGCTAACAGCAAGGATCTGAATGTACCCATAACTGATGTAGGGAAGGAGCTGTGCAATTAACTCTAAGCGTGGAGTAATTGGAAACTGCTTGCTCAATACATCTGAATGCTTTTCCTGCAGCATGGCATATTTTCTTAATAAGAAATATTGTACCATTCCATGTCTGCAAGATCTTCTCTTTGTTCTACCACACTCCATGGTTTTAATACTTCCTTTTGCATACCTCAGGAGACCTTGATATAAGGCTATGGGAGTTAAAGTGATCCTTTTTGCTCACTTCCTTAGGGTTTAAATCAGACTCTAGATAGCTTTGTCTCCCTGACATTTGCTTTCATAGAATATTTGATTTTTTTGTTATTTCCTTGTGCATTGCAGACCCAGCTAAAGTGGAAATCTCTGCTTCTCCAGTCTGGGGAGACCCACCTTCTGGGACTTTATCTTAACTAGAAATGATTGTCTGGGTTATTCAGAAACCTTTCTGTAAATAGCACTGCTGACAGATGTTTGCATAATTAGAGTCCCTCATGAATATGATATCTTGTGGCTTAGGATAAAGTATTAATTGATTTGTGAAACATTCTAATATCCAACTGGACAGTAGTTTATGTCCAATGAGTTTATCTTTGTTTTTTACTCCTTGACTTATGTTCAGATAAACTCATCACAACCCTGCTAATCAATGTTTTCTTCTAATAAAATCGTACTCTTCAAAATCCATCCCAGTAACAGTAAGAAGTATCCTCTACTGCAGGGCATACGTAATTTGCTCATTTAATAATGATTTTAAAATGTTTAAAATCTAAACAAAACAACAAGTTCCTACTCTTGTATTCAGGTGTGATTTATCCATCTTTCATGATGAGACAGGTTTAATAATTATATAAGCCCTTTGGGCTAGTATACATGAACATTAAAGTGAATTATGACATGATCAGACTGCTAAGGAAAGCCACAGTTATTTTGCAGAAATGGGGCCAAATTCTGCTCCCTTGTAACTGATTGTAATGATATAGGAGTCAGCAGAGTTACCTTCTTGCAAAATTTGCTCTATGCGACCTAATGTAAGCTTGAGATTATAACACTGTCATACTTGTACTCTCTGCTGCCAAGATAATAACACTGCAAAAATATGGTAATTGTTCAGCTTTACATTGCAAGTGCACCTATAACATGCTGTAAAACAATGGGAACAAAACAAGGGATGACTTGAGCAAACAGATTTATAATATATGTGGTTTCAGGGTGCAAAGCATAAAGGGTGAAAGCAAGAGAACTGTATAACTACAATAGTTTGACCGAAGATCAGAGAAGTCAATGGGAGTCTTTCCATTTTTCTTTCGGTAAGATTTAGATCAGATCCCTTTGGGGAGTCATAATGAAGTTTATTTCCATTATAAATATAGTTGATATGTCAAATTATACTACCGTCATGAGAAAAAATTACAAAGTCACAGCCCAGCTGAATTTCACATGAAAAAATGTTACATTAAGTTACTTTTGCCAAATTCTAAAGAGAATGACATTTGACAAGGAAAACATTCATACTTCTTAGATACAATCACTAGATTTTATTCTTTCTGTGGTAATAAGTCTACTGCATTCACTAATGAGCAAGCTGTCGCTCTTACAGGTTGATCCTTGCTGACCTCTCTCTGTATCTTCCTCCTGATCTTAGAATATATTTTAAGAGGAAGAAAAACAAGTTTTTACTCCAAAATATTCAACTGCTAGTGGAGACTGAATAGGTGTACTAGCTGCAACTAACTCATCTCGAAGTAAAAGTTTTTTGTTGTCTCCAAGGATTTCTTATTTCAATGACTAGTTTGATTTATAAATTAGCTTCAATTTTTCCTCTAATGAAGACAAAGCATTATTGCAAAGGTAAACTCTTTTTTATAGTCATAAGCTAGACTGTCTGATTCATGGCTTTCATTCCCTGGGTGTTATATGTGTATAAACTATACCTTAGGATGAACCACAGGTTTTGTGAAGACCTCTTTACTTAAAAAATGAATAATACCAACCAATATTTTGTTAATTACACAGAAAATTGGTATGGAAAAGAGCCTTTGGCAATATTTACATCAGAATCTGTTTTTTCCCTTTTGAAAAAGTAATCAACATGCTTTAATCAAGCACTCAAAATTCAGAATTTTCAACCATTTCTACTTATTATAAACATAATTTGTTTTTGGTGGGTGGAATTCTCATTAGGCTCTGAGCTGGCTGACATGTTTCGATAACTGCAAGATGAAGTCAAAATCTCAGCAATGTGAAAACAAACACATTTGTTTATTTTCCAAATAGACCCTACTGACTTTCTCTTCCCAAATTAAAAACATTCTAATTTGTACTGAGAAATTTCATATGCCTCTAATTTTGAGGGATATAATTAATTTTGGTCCTAGATTAATAAGCTCCCCATATATTTTATATTCTCTCATTACTGTATGCACTGACAGGTTGTAAAGAGGACATAACAGAATGGAGTCTAAGAAAAAAATTACAGCAAAGGGATGAAGGAGTGTTTTTTATCTGTCTGTCTCCTAAAGTCTTCAGATGGTGACTAGATGCCTACAGATAAGACATTTTTAATCAAGGAGTTAGAGAACTCCATAGTTGAAATGACATCGAGTGAGTCATACCTCAGATCATCTAACAAAATCTTCAGTCATTAGGATATACATCCCTCTGACTACAGAGAGAAGTTTTCCAAGAGCCAAAGACTAGATCTTCCTAATCAGTTATTTCAGTGGGAAGAGGAGCTTCAGGGGACCAACATGTCATTTTTAAAGGACCTAAATGTTAGAACTGACCTAGGGCAATGTGACAGAAATCGCTGGCTGAAATTCTGGCTCCACTGAGCCCAAGAGGGAGTTGGAATTCAGTGGGACCATGTTACCACCCAGTGTGTCGATGGGAAAATTGCCAGTTTAAAATTAGAGAAAACTATATAAGATATTTAACCCCAGGAAGCAAAATAAAAAAGGTGTTCCAGTCCCCAGTCCCTCATCTCCCCTCAAACCGTCTCCCTCAAACCAACGATATAGGCCAAATGAGGAGTGACATCAGGTCTGTCTCAGCACAAGATGTATGTGAGGCAAGTCTCAGCAGAAGATGTGCGAGTTCTTTTTGCTTCTAACACATAAAATGGGTATCTAAGGGAGTGAGACATTACATAGATTGGATGAAACAAAGTTCATCTGTAGGTTCACAACATCACAGAATGTTTAAGGTTGGAAAGGACCTCTGGAGGTCATCATGCCCAGCCCACCTGCTCAAGCAGGATCACCTAAAGCAGGTTGCCCATGACTATGTCTCAATGGCTCCATTCCACACAAACTTCCAAGGACATACTCCACTTGTCACCATCAAAATTCAATGATGATGCCATCACTCCTTCTAG